TGATCATGGCCTCTGAAACTCAGCAACCTGTTATCGTTTGAAACGAGCAGACAAACAATGCATGTGAAATACCTCAACTAGAACCCATTGTGAATCTGGCCTGCAGACTCATTTCTCCGATCTCCCTAACTTCGTCCTCAGTTAGACCAAGGCCTAACGGAGGTTGAGCGAGAAGAAGGGCGTATTCTGCCAACAGAGAAGTACGAAAAGGCAGGATGTCGTCCGTCTGCGTAATATACTCAATGACTGACTTTGGTCAAATAAATAAAAAAGAGGACATACACAAATGGCGATCAAATGATTTTCCTTGAGGTATTGACGAATGTGATGAGACTCCAATGCAGTTACCGTTTTGCTCCTGCACCAATAGCAATTTGGAAAGTTCGCGACAAAAATTGTTGAACACTGCTCACAATAAATTAGAAGTTAGGCAGATCTCAACGCAGATGTTATTTTTTATCACGATATCCATAGCTTCCTTGTTGAGAAATGTGGCGTGCCCCAAGCGGTCGGGTTGGAAAGACAAGAGCTTCAGAGTCTCCTCGGGGGTGCTAGAAATGATCTAAATATGGGTATAAATGTTTACGAAGGGATTTTTAAGTTGTGAGAGGTCTCACCTCGGCGATATGCAACGTGACACCCAATCCCGCTTTCTTCGCTTCACAGAAAAATGTTTGAAAATCCGCAACGTCTCCCATGGATGGTTCGCCGCAGAGATCAACCCCAACAAGTCTTCTTCCCTCTCCCTTTAGCTTAAGTGCTATATCCAAGCATTCTTGCCAAGTCTTTTCGCCAGTTTTGCGATCCAAGCTCAGAATTACGCCCACCTTTTCCCCATATTTTTCTGCCTCATTCAAAACGGTTCGCATATACAATTCCCTGCTCATGTATTCAGTCTCTCTTGGTCCCGTACGAAGTTCAAGATAATTGCATTGCGGATGGTCGCCGTCCAGGAAAGCATTCAGAACACCTCGCGTCGCGCAAGCCAGGCTTTCAGGCGTAGACGTCAAGTGATAGATGATTGGGAATACCGAAAAGAAATCGTCTATCGTCTCAAGCTCAGAACCGTAAATGAGTCGTTCTATCGTGGCGTAGATTGCATCGCCGTGTGTGGATGATGGAGAGTTTACGTATTCCTTGCCAAGCTGTTGGATGACCGCAATGGGTATAGAACCGTTGAGGTGGGCATGAAGTTCAGCTTTTTCAAGAGATTGTAGAAAAGTAACCTGATCAGGTTTCAATGAGGCGAGTGCTGCTGCGGCAGGACCAGCGATGGCCATTGGAAAGGGTGCGTAGTCCGAGTCAGGTTGTTGGGAGTTCGAGCTGGGTCACCTGTTCTTTGAATGAATAAATAACTTTGAAGGGACGGCTGAACACAGACACGCTGAACGGGGGAGCCAGCCTGGACTTGCGACTTCGCGTGGATGTTGTCGCGGGGAAGGCTATAATAGTAGCAAGTACTACGAGTACTATAGAGTTGGACTGGAGACAGCTGACGTTGAACGTTGGACGTCGAGTGATGCACATGTGCAGCTATGAAGACGAGCCTTTATGTGGCGGAAGCGGGTGGCCGCTGGCGATCGAAGCGTAGACGAATGGATCCCCGACTCTGGAACAGAGAGGGTTCCGTCAGAACGATAAAGCTCCGAGCTCCATCGTGTGTGATGGATTGGAGGACGTTCCGTAGTTCGAGAGTCCGAACTGCCGCCGATCCGCCTGTCCGAGCACGATCACGTGCCTTCATCGCGTCAAGTTCGCGACTGTCGTAAACTACATACTCGCTCGCAACCGCTCACATTCTTGTAACTTAATTACCATAATCATCTCAAAAACATGTCAATCAACGGTTTCCTCAAACTTGCGCGTTCATTCCCAGAAGTCCTGAACCAGGATGTTCTCATCAAACTATCGACTTTCTTGCTCTATGCACCCCGTTTCAAGAACGACATCCTCCTTGCCCAAGCGTCAAACTGGCCAACTACTGATCCACCAATGTTCCTGCCTCAATCCATTCTGCACCTCCTGTCTAATCTATGTGAAATTGACACGGAGTCAATACATACATTATGGTCATACCTCAAGGAAACTGTGTGGGGATACAATGAGAAGGCAAAGGCTGTGGATGAAAGGTTCAAGTTGTTTGGGAAAGACCTTGGTTATAGTGAGTTCTTCTTGTTTCTCCATTTTGTTCAGCATATTCTAAAGAGAATCATGTAATAGGATCTTTATACCCTCCTGTTAACTATTGCACAGACAGTCTCTGTGACCGACCAAAGAAGGACCTTAAGCTCCAGAAGGCAGACCAAACACAAGGCGTACTCTACACTTTGGATGGCGTTCGCCCCGTCTGGGTGATAAGATTCCAATGCGAAGGTGCGGCGTCTCGCAGAAAGTTTATTATGCTTCAGGAGTTGCCATCATTTCTCATACGGAAACGTTGTTAGGGTGTCAAACAGCCTACTACCACAACTATTCTGTAAAGAACGGCATGCGAAACTATTATGATGGTGCTATACCAGAAATTATTCAAGTTGGAGAGCACCAATTCGTTGAGCTGAAGGTTTTGCACATGTGGCGTGCTGATACTAATATCTCATGGTATGTTTGATTGACTAGACCATGAAGCATCGTAAATTTGGATTAATACTCCTCTTAGGAAATCCTTTACAAACTGTGCTCGTACATATGAAGTTGCACTTGCAGGACCTGGCAGCAATGGCCTTCCTTCCAACTGGAAATTCCAAGCTGCACTTAAAGGTGATCACATACAAGATGGATTCACGATCCTATCTCTGCTTGAAGACCATCGTGAACGAATTAGCACCTTGATAGTACCTCACACCGGAGAGCAAACAGATCGGTTCACACAGGCTATCAAAGCGCGAAATGCTCGTATTAAACTATATGGACAAAAGGAAATCTCGCACCGGTGCAAGAAGTGTACGCGTATCTATGCTGCCAAAGACGGTGAGCGTGAGTATCCCCAATGTGATGCTGCCAACAGAAGTTAAATATGGTTCAGCGGCTTTGTTTGTGTGGGTCGCCGTGATGGATGGAATAACGTTGGGACATAACTGTTGTGCTGTCCACAACTGCCAAATTCCATTGACTACCTCACGGGATCGTTACTGTGCAATACATCGTAACCTGAGTAGCATTTGCGCTATCAAGGAGTGCAACAGACCTGTTCTTGAAGGCAAAAGGACCTGCCAGCACCCAGATCACAGGGAGGTTGAGCGCATGTATATCCTGAGAGGCCAGTCTCGTG